TGTGTGTGTGTGTATATATATATATACACACACATATACACATATTATTGTTGTTATGCACATATATATATTATTGTTGTTATGTGCCAAGTCGACTGCAACTCACAGTGACCTTATGAACCATAGCTCCGCACCCTGCCCTATCCTGGGCCAATTTCACTGCCTCTGCCTCCTGTGCCCCCATTACACCATTCATTGTGTCAATTCATCTCATCTGGAGTTTTCATCTCTTGCACTGTCCCTCCATCCTTCCAAGCATGATGTCCTTCTCCAAGGACTGGTCCCTCCTGGCAGTGTGCCCAATATATGTGAGACAGAGCTTCAAAATCCTTGCCTCTAAGGATATATCCATGTTGTTGTTGTGTACCATTGAGTCAGAACTGATCCATAGCTGACCCCACAGTGGGTTTTCAGAGGCAGTTAATTGCATGGGAGGAGACTGCCCATCCTTCTCCTGTAGAGCAGCTGGTGACCTCAAACCGCATACATTCAGGACTGCAAGCACACCTTCTTGTCACTAGGCCACCAGAACGTATGTGAATCATATGGGAGGGGATTGCCCATTTTTCTCCTGCAGCACAGCTGGTGGATTCAAACTACTTACCTTTGGATTTACAGTGCAACTCCTTACCAGTAGAATATATATATAAATAAATGAGTAGGAATGGAGTTACCCTCTTGTTTTAATGTATTAGACATATATGTCATAAAATATTTAATGATATAAATAATTTTAACAATAGAAATGAGTATAATTAAATTAGTTTGATGTACAGAAATGATGTTAGTTATAGAACAGAGTTCAAGTCTTTTGTGCAAAGCGTACTCTTAGTCATACTTTACTTGAGATAGTTAACCACTGCTAAATGAAATTGGTGCTGTTATATCTGGAGGAACACTCTTCCACTTTCTACATCACTCTTTGTCAACGTGCAGTATGATGTAACCTGGGTTTGCTGTGATGCTGAAACTTGTGCCATTGGGGTATCAAATGACGGAATGGTTTCTCAATGTGGACAGTGTTTTGTGGAGCTCTGAGTTGTAAAATAAGTTTGGAAGCAGGAGTGGCATCCACTTCCTAAAACACATGCCTCTGGAAACACTATGAACTTGGAGAAATGACGATAATTATGGAAAAGCATTAGGTCTTTTGCTCATAGAGTTGCTATGGGTCGTATGCACTCAGCAGCAATCAACAACAACAACATAGAATGGGGCTAACAGTTGATGTCTTTAGGTAATGATCTAAAGAGGTCTAAAAAGAGAGAACCAGCAATAAAAGTCAGGTAATTTGTTGGGTTTTGTCTGGAGTTTGGATATGTTTATAAATTTCTTTAATATTTTTATTTACTTCTTTTGAAGAGTTTATACTAGTTACTGACTGAGCTAACTTAACAAGCATATTTTCACATTAGGCTTGAATAGTAATTGTGTGTACTGTAGAGTTGGAACTGACCCATAGCTGACTCTCCAACAGGTTTTCAGAGGCAGTTAATTGCATGAGAGAGATTGTCCATCAGCTAGTGGCATCGAACCGCATGCCTTCAGGATTGCAGTGCAGCTTCTTACCACTCGGCCACCAAAGAAAAAAACCTTAAGGTAATTTTTATGATGTAGGAAAACTGTCTAAAAGTTATAAGGGCAAAAATTATGTAAATAATGGCAATAATTAAATGGGATAGAATTTTTTAGTGGTTTATATTTAAAGTAATAAAAGGTTTGTCAAAAGGAAAAAACAAGAAAAATAGTTATAATATTAAACTAGGTATAAAATATAAACTAGGTATATCCACTTCTTAAATAGCTTGCCTCTAGAAACTCTATGAACTTGGAGAAAGGATGACAGTTTTATAAGTGTTCAGGTATTTAATTCATAGGGTCGCTACGAGTCATCTGCGACTTGACGTTACTTAACAACAACATTAATGTTTTGCTTTATACATGGGACACAGACACTGAGAGATTAAGAATCTTTTTAGCAGTCAGTAAAGTGTAATTTATAGAATAAAACTAATGACTTATAAGCATTAGGCAAAGTGTAACAATAGTTGACATGTTAGGGGTGAAAAGGGAATCAATGTACCAATTGATCAGCCAAGAGGGGACAGTGTACAAATCGAAGATGACATAGCTCACTCTTCTCACCTGATGTTTTGTTAAAATACGTCAAGTGTGTGTAAGTCCCTGGGTGACACAAATGGTTTGTACCAAAAGATGGTAGTTTAAACCTATCCTGTAGGTCTGCAGAAGGAAGGGCTGATGATATACTCCCATAAAGATTGCTGTTAGGCACCATTGAGTCGATTTTTATCTCACAGCAACTCCATAATACAGATTAGAACTTCCTCAAGAAGTGTTCCGAGGCTGTACTACTTACCATCAACTCAGAAGGAAGAATACTGGCAATCTTCTCCCATGTGATTTACAGTCTCAGAAACTTGCTGGAGTGTCAGCTATGAGTTGGTTCCTACTTGATGACAATGAGTTTTAAGTTTCTTTTGAGAATCTTCATAGGAGCGAATAACCATGTCTTTCTCCCACAGAGTTGTTAGGAAGGTTTAAACTGCCAGCCTTGTGGTAGCCAGGTGCTTAATCACTGGACCACCAGGCTCTTTTCTGTAAACAACATAGCCGGGAAAACCACATGAAGCTCAGTTCTATTTCTAACACATGAGGGTGCCTTGAGTAGGATTAACTCAAAACAACAGGTTTGGTTTGATTAATTTTTTATATGTGTGTGAACACCTAAGTGTGCATTTTAGCCAGTGTGTGTTTTTTGATTTCACATTGCACTTTGTTTGTAGAAAATTCACCTGGAAAGTTTTGCTGTCCATCAGTGAACTCTGGAAGCCCATCATGTTCCTGTCCAATGCCACAGCTGTAAGCCCAGTTCTGACCACGCTGTGGCAGGAAGTGGTTCCACAAGGTGCCAATGTGTCTGGCCTGGCCCGTAAGTCCACCAGCAGCGGCCATAGTGAGCTGGAGGCACTGTATGTTCTCATCGTACTTGGCTTCTTTGGCTTCTTCACCTTGGGTATCATGCTGAGTTACATCCGCTCCAAGAAGCTGGAGCACTCCCATGACCCCTTCAATGTGTACATCGAGTCAGACACCTGGCAGGAGAAGGACAAGGCATACTTCCAGGCCCGGGTCCTGGAGAGCTGCAAGGCTTGCTGTGTGATTGAGAACCAGCTGGCCGTAGAACAGCCCACTGCACACCTTCCTGAGGCAAAGCCTTCCTCCTGAACACCTCAGTGGCTGAAACTGGCTGTTTCTCACATAACCATTTGATTTGTCTAATCACATTCCTCTCACAGTCTTTATTGTGTGAGTCAAACTCTGGGAGTGTTATAAGATGTAAAGAAAGAGTAAATTAATGACACTGCTTTGCTAAAATAGTTTTCCTTCTGTCATACTGTTACTTGTTCCCCAGAGTCTATCTTGTCTTACTCATTTTTCACAGAATCTTGAGATCAAAGATTATGAGAAGAGAAGCTACATATCCTAGACTTTCTTGCTGCTACCAAAGTTACACCATGAAGTTGTGAGCAGTAAAAATGGAAGTGACTAAATCAACTTCTAAGCAATCCTTGAAAAGAAAAGAAAGCACCCTATCTAGCTTTGACTGGGGCATAGCACAGAATCCTCATCGATGGCAAAGCAACAAGCATCTAGGATCCTGGGCAATGTCGCAAAACAGGGTCTCTCTCCCTGTCCTGGGCCACTGACTAGCTCAGACTTCATAGGTATGCAACAGTGACTTTAATCTTGTTAAATTTCTGTAATTTGGTCTCTCCTAAGATCTAGAGTGGTTTAGTGGTAAGGAATTGTTCTGCCAATGCAAAGGTACACAGTTCAAGTCCACCAGTGTTGGTGGGGAATCTCCAGTGCAACTGACTGCCTCTGAAACCATGCTGGAGGGTCTGCTATGGGTCGCTTCCAATTCCACGGTACAGGGAGTGCTGGCAGCTTAGTGGGAAGGAGTCGTGCTGCCAACCTGAAGTCACGTGTCGTTTAAACTCAGCAGTTGTTCCGCAAGAGAAAGAGGAACAATCTCCTGTGCAATTTACTGCCTCAAAAAACCTGCTGGAGGGTCAGCCGTGGGTCAGTCAAAACTTAACTCTATTTAACAACAACAAAGTCGCAGGAAAATATTGTAACTAATGACAAAAATAAACCATTTAGTTCATTCTATGAAGTCAGAATAATGCTGATACCCAAACCAGGCAAAAAATCACAACCAAACCTAAAGCTGTAGAGCGATCCTCTACTAGATTTCCAAGGCTGTAAATCTTTATGGGAGGCCATTGCCTGTCTTTCTCTCACTGGGCAACTATTGAATTCAAATAGATCAACTCTTGGTTAGCAGCATAACACACCATCCAATAAAACTCAAAACTTGCTGCCGTGAAGTTGGAACCAACTTATAAGCTGCCCCTGCAGGCTGTAAATCGCACCTTTGGAATTTGCCCGTATTTCTCCCTCAGAGCCTCTGGTGGATTCAAACATTAGAGAGGCACCACTTTTGGGTTAGTAAAGCGTCTCACTATGGATTAGGCCTCCAGAGCTCCTTCTTAGAGATTTACTGCCCCGGAAACTAGGGGAGTATCTCCATCAACTCAACAGTAGAGGGCTTTTTGGTTTTATGGGATTGACTCAAGAGTGTGACATTTATCCCAAGCACAGTCCTCCTCTTGTTACAGGACAGAACCATTTCTGCCATTACCTCTGCCTTCATTGTTACTCCTTTCATTATCCTGCCTTCTGTTTCTCCCTTATTCCCAGTTGACATCCCCCCTCCCCCTTCACATATCTCAGTCTCGTGGGAGAAAGATACTGGCAATCTCCTCCCATGTGATCTACTGCGTTTGAAAACACACTGGATTGTCAGGGATGAGTCAGTTCCAACTTGACGGTTCAACAACAACATCTCCCTCTAGAAAGAATTCACTTCCTTCAGGACTGAGATGGAGGAGGAAAACTTCTCCTTAGGACTTATATCAAAGGGTCGTGCTCAGGTGTCATTGCAAGAGGGAGAGGCACCCACCACCACAGTGGCCTGGGGGAGTAGTTCTGGGAAAGAGGCCGTCACTGGGGTTGAGATAGCAGTGCCTTTTGAGGTGATGTACCTCTCATTCACCCGGGACAGAGCTGCTTCCTCCCTACTCGCCCCGCCCCGCCCCGCCCCGCATCTCCATGCACATGTGCTCTGGCTGGGAACTTTTCCTCACAGTTGGGAAATAAAAGGAGAATTTTGGGGGTGGGGGTGGGGTGGAGGTGAATGTTTCCAGAAGAAGCTGCTTGAAAGAAAGTCTTATATGTAGAAAATCATAAGCAATGTGTGTTCGTAAGCCCCGTTCTTCCCTAGCTTCAGCTTCCTTGGCATTTGTGGCTTCCTTGTCTGCTTGGTTGTTCTCAAGATTGTTGAATATTTAAATAAAGCATAAATTAAAAATAAATACAACCAAAAAGACCTCAACTTGTACTTAAAAATCAAAAGCAAACCATAAGCATTGTTGACCATCTTCAAACAGACATATTGACCAAGCCTGACACCAGTCTTCATTTCCTGTCATAAACTGTGGCTCCCCTGAGTGTACTGGGAGCTGGAATGTCACACCAGTTCTTCGGGGAGAAACCGCGTTATTCAGTCCTTGAAGTGAGCAGGGAGTTTTGGTGACATAGTTCATATAGACACTGTTAAGTCAAGGACAGCCAGTTCAAATTCACCAGCTGCTCCATTGGAGAAAGATGGATAATCTTCTGTGCAATGATAGCCTCTGAAAACCCATTGGAGGGTCAGCAGTCAGTGAGTTCCAGCTGGATAGCAATTAATTCAAGTTGAATTTTGTTTGTTGGTTTGTTTGTTTTGAGATCTGGGTCACAGATACTTTGAAAACTGTGGACTTTTCCCAGAAAAGGTTAATCTATACTCAACATAACTCAGTGTCACCCATTTAGAGCCAGCTCAAAGCTGACCTCCAGGAATTTTTCTGAGGCTGTGAATGGTACAGGAGGAAACAGCCCATCTTTCTCCCACAGAGCAGTTAATGGATCCAAACTATATGCCTTTGGATTGGTAGGACAATTCCCTATGCCCTAGGCCACCTCCAAGGGGTTAAGCATGTCATAAGTGATCTAAAGGTTGACAGTGCAAATCTATCCAAGGGCACCTGTGAAAGAAAAGCCTAGAAATCTACAAAAGAAAAAAAACCCAAAACAAAATACTATGGCACTTAGTTCCTATAACGTGTCATCATCATGAGTCAGAAGCAATTCAATGGTAAGCTTTTTTTTTAGTATACACAATTACCCCACCATTTTGAGCTGTTTAGGGGAAGTCCAGTTATGACTTCTGGCATCCCAGTATGCTCATATCAGTACCCTGCTTCAGACAGAAGTGTTGGAGTCATAGGAACATGAGCTTAATGAGGGATTTACAATGTGTATAATCCACAGTGAGCCCACAGCATGGACTAACACTGCTTGGTTAAGGCTCTGATATGGGATCTCTGTCACCAATTCACTTTCCTCTGACTCAGATTCCTTCAACTTTTAAAGCAGAAGGTGATGTCAGGAGCTTGTGTTTACCTGTCCGAGAAGGACCAGGTGCTCCGTTCCCTGTTCTCTGCAAACCACTCATTATGTCTTTCTTCCCATTTACATTGGTAGATCTAGTTCATAGCTTTCAAATACTTGTTTCTAGGCTTATGATGTGTCAAACACTGTTCTAAGCATATAGAAGTAGAAATATTTTATATGTGATATTTTATATTTGTTGTATAGGACAGCACAGCTTTTACATATTTATTTATTTATTCATTAAAATATTTTATTATGATTTGCGGTGTATAATCTTTTCAAATTTGAATCTTCATCTCATATTGGTTTTCTTACAGTTTGTACACATTGTGTTTCACACTCTTTCATTCACTTGTGTTTCCTACAATCATCCCCATTCATTATGTTTTATAAAATTAATCATCATTGAGCTATGCCCACCAATACCCTGGCTTTCCAGATTCCTGCTTTTCATTCAGATTTTCCACTTCCATTACCTACTCCTCCCTCCAGCCACCAAATTGTGCAACCCTTTCATTTCGCCTGACCATCCTCTCCTCTCTGCTCCCACCCTCTCCACCTTGGGTCTTCATACACATTTTACTAATTATCTTTCTATTTGTACAATAATGGTCTTATACAGTATTGTCCTTGCAAGACTGAGTTAGTTAACTCAGCATAATGCTCTCCAGTCCCTCCCAAGTTATGTGGTAATTTTTTAAAATAATTGCTTCTGAGTGATATGTAATGTTCCATCATGTGAATAAACCACAATTTCTCAATCCTTTCGATTGTGGTTGGACATTTGTTCTATTTCCATACCCTTTCCCTCCTCACTACCATTTTTAAATTTTTTCTTTTATAATGATTTATTTTCTCCTCATAGAGCCCAGTCTCCCGGATAATCTGTTCTGCATATAGGTTGAAAAGGGATAGGATGCATCCCTGGCGTAAATGTGGGGGTCAAGATTGGTGGATGATTTATCAACAATCTGCGTTATGCAGATGACACAACCCTGCTTGCTGAAACTGAAGAAGACCTGAAGCACCTGCTGCAGAGGGTCAAGGACTGCAGCCTACAATATGGATTGAGGCTCAATGTCAAGAAGACAAAGATTCTCAC